TGCCGGTTGGACGCTCCATCCACAAAGAGCTTCCACATTTCTCCAACGAATAACTTCCAGCAAGTGGTAGGATCAGATGATGTCGTGGGATCAAGAATGGTGTTTTCTTCAAAGTCCATGTTGGCTGTCTGCCCCTCGTCCTCTGTTTGAACTGCTGATGAGCCTTTGTTTGTCTTTTCCTTGTTGTCCTTAGTATGGTCTGCCTTGGTGTTTGATTGACTACCTTCTACTAGGGGTTGCGCTATTCCGGCGTCAACGTCCGTCCCTTGTTCGGTTGTGTCAGTTAGGTCGACTGGGCAGATATGATGACTTCCAGGAGTAAACTCTGCGACGAAGTCTGCCAAGGATTGGGCTTTTATTGCGGTCTTGGGTTGGAACTTGATGTCGAATTGTCCCAACTCTACTGCCCACTTCAAAATTCGCCCACTAAAGTTCGCCCTTTCAAACAGAGCTTTTAGAGTTCGCCCACTAAAGTTCGCCCACTAAAGTTCGCCCACTAAAGTTCGCCCACTAAAGTTCGCCCACTAAAGTTCGCCCACTAAAGTTCGCCCACTAAAGTTCGCCCACTAAAGTTCGCCCACTAAAGTTCGCCCACTAAAGTTCGCCCACTAAAGTTCGCCCACTAAAGTTCGCCCACTAAAGTTCGCCCACTAAAGTTCGCCCACTAAAGTTCGCCCACTAAAGTTCGCCCACTAAAGTTCGCCCACTAAAGTTCGCCCACTAAAGTTCGCCCACTAAAGTTCGCCCACTAAAGTTCGCCCACTAAAGTTCGCCCACTAAAGTTCGCCCTTTCAAACAGAGCCGAATGAAGAGTTGGGTCTGGAAGTACAAGGGACTCTCAATAACTTTACGAATCGGGAAGCGAGTGAAGTCATTTGGAGCGAACAAAAGTTACAGAGACTGCGAAGAAAGAGTTGGAAAAATGAAGACGAGGAGGGTTGAAGAGGGGTTTTACCGTTTTCGATTGGGGCAAACCTCTCGGGTTTGGTTCGGGTTAGAGAAATTTTTCATATCTGCCCGACCCATCCCAATTCCCAACCTCCACCCCGGACTCGGTAGTAGCTCAATTCTACATAAACTTTTGATTTTTATGTTTTGGGTAAATTATAATTTTTTTTTTAAATTAAAAAAAAAAACACATTAAACCTCACAAATTCGACAAAAGATTACTTTGCTTGGTTTTATTTTTTCAAAAATGCTTTTCAAAAAATTATATTTTCTTATTTTTTTGTTTTTACTAATTTTTTTTAAATATTTTAAGTAATTTTTTTTTACTTT